GCAGAAGAATTGCAAAAAACAGTTTCGGTAGGTGCTTTGACAGTCTCCCATCCAAGTGCACCAGCAGCCCATGAGGAATTACTCAAAATACGTTGTTACTGTGCGGTGTCGCCTGTCTCTAGCTGCCTAAGCTCGAACACGATTCTTGCTGCAGCAAGAAATGGGCAAGTGCCCAACATGGAAGGAGCTGACCACGAAGGCCTGGGCATGCTGCGATTTATTAATAAATTAAAAAATTTCCGCAAGCAGCAGGCCAAGAAACACATCCAAGTGGATGTTGACCTGAGCAGCAGAAGGCTGGACTGAAGCCGCGTCTCTGTTCCGTCGACTTTAACTTTCATTTGGCTGACAGATAATGACTTGAATCAGGCCAAAGTCGTCTTCACGTCGTCTGCGGGTCGCTGGAGATTGTGCTGGCATTGCAACTATTGTAACTCGGATGCTCTACGCGTTGTAGACTTCTGTAACTGAGTCATCAGAAAATTTATTTATTATCAGTTTAATGGACTTGTCCCAAGGCCATTGCACTTCGTAACATTGGTTACAAAGTCGGTGTTGACTACTTCTCGGAGACAGACGCAGCTGTTCGCCGCATGCAGACGGTCGTTTTGGCAAGCTATGGAGTGGCCATCCAGGAACAGCCTTGGGATATGACGGAGGATCTGCCTAGAGCCGGCCTGGATAGCGATCTCTACTTCTTCACTGGGCCTTGCCAGTCTTTCAGTTCTTGTGGCCTTCAGCAGGCTCGGCGCACACAGTCCCATCCGGCTATTCCTGAAACGAATAATAGCATGGATTCTTTGCAGGGCACCAAAGACCATCGGGGAAAGTTGATCCTGCATTCAGCGGACCATATCCTGGACCAGCGACCCAAGGCGGGTCGGAGTGTATCAAAGCAAATGCCAGTTAACAGGTGCTTCTCGACACTAAGCGTGTGTCTGCTGTCACTGCCGCAGTTGATTGCTCTGTGCTCAGACAAGTGCACGCCTGTTCAGCTGGTGCTTCTGGAGAACGTCTACGCGCTTCGAAGTCGGCATGGTCGAGTCTTGGACAGCTTCTTGAAGATCCTGACCACAGCTGGATATGTCTGGGTCCCAGTCACGTGCTTGCACGAGTACATGGATCAATCACGACCCAGGTGACGAAGGAATTCCCCATGATGACACATGAACACGGTTTACCGCAACGCCGAAGGCGAGTCTTTGTCGCTGCAATCCGAAAAGATGTCATGACCGGCAGTCTCTTGATGTGGTCACTGCCCGATCGCATTCCTGCTGTGCCCGTTTCCCAATGCTTGCTGAGCGAAAGTGAGAATCCGACCAACATGGAGATGGAGTCGGCAGAGTCGCAGACGGCAACGTGCTTGAAGAACCTGCAGCTAGCAGAGGCGAAGTTAAAAGATGCGTTCATGCACAAGGACACGGTAGTCGACACGGGGGCCGGCCTGCACACTTTTGCGGCACACATTTTCCCAACAATCACAAGAAGCAGGGGCGGTGAGTTGGCTTACTGGCTTCCAGGGCACGGGCGACGAGTGAAGATTGAGGAGTTATGTCTTTTGCAAGGCCCGACTGTGTTGATGTGTTGATGTGTGCTTGTGATTTTTCCTTTTAATGGTCCGGTGATGACAACAACGAGGTCTTGAGCCATGCCTGTGCACCAAGATGCTGGAGGTCTGCACTGCAAAGCAAGTCGGCGAGGCAGTCGGCAACGCAGTGTCAGTGAACGTCCTGGAGCGTATCTAGGCTGAGCATAACATCTTTAAAAGTCAGTAATTCCTGCTGCGTGCAAAATCAGTGTGCTGGGCTGAAGGCATGCTGCCTTCACTCCTGGCCCTGATTGGAAAGTATCCATCAGGAGGGTGGCCATGTCCAGACGTATGGTCTATGGCGGTGAGGCGGACCTTGGCAAAGGACCCGGCCGACAGACTGCATAATGTGACCTCACAGATTCTCAGACTTACAAATTTAAGTGCCAGCTATCAGGACTCCAAGCTGGCGGACGAGCTGGGGGCAGTTCGAAGGGAGCTGAAGGCTCGATGCTGATGCTGACGGGGCAGCAGAAAAAGTCCGCTGCACATGCACGAGTTGATTGACTGGATTTGTGACGGGACCTGAGTCACCTGCTAAGGTCTGGGAAAGGCTGGTGCCTATGCGAGGCCTGGATAAGGCGTCCTGAATCTAAGTCTGATTTCATTAATAATAATATGTAGACTCCTGATCCAGGCCGTTTCCAAGAATGCCAAAACAGCTGAGAGGAGAAGGAGGCCGTCCTGCTTCATGAATCAGCTAGTGCTGTTGTCATTGTGCGTTCTGCATGGATTGTTCGTGGACAACCTCCGGGACGTGAGCAGCCAAACGATGTTCCGCCGCTTATGCAGAGGCTCAGAGGAGTGCTGGGAAGCAGGGGAAATCAACAGTCCCGTGCTAGGAAGCAGGGGAAAGCAGCAGGAATTTAAGCCCTGGCGTTTGCCGGAGGGCCTGGCCTACACAGCTATTTGCGACGAAATAACAGACGTCCCTTGGCCTCCTTAGCACAGCTACAGCAACTTCTGAGCCTCCTTCTAAGAAACGCCCTTGGCCTCCCCTAAGGGGCCGGGTCCTTTAAGGGTTCCTGCCTAGGAAAAGTCACGTCCTACTGACTACGCAGCACCATTCAATTCAAATATTTTTTATTTTAAATTTACTATTGCAAGCCAACACCTTTAAACCTTAAGCCTTAAACGTCATTTACTTCCTCTCGGACTTATTCAGACTTACTAACACTCAGACTTGCTCCGACTACTGCATAAGCTGCTTAAGCTATCCCAGTAAATCATCCCGAAGCCCAAAATCCTTGGCCATGGCACAACGTCGACCGCTGTCGGAAGCTCCGACAGGCAAGGAGTCGGCGCGAGCGAACCAAGTCGCCTTCGTATACGCCGGCCAGATTCGTATCAGGTGCTGATGTCGGTGGAGACGGCGCGCATGCCGAATGCTGCACAGTGCTTACTCTATGAGGCTGACAATCCTGCCTTGTGCCCGCTGGCTAGATCCTCTGGTGTGGGGCACTGGAAAATCCAGCAGAGCCTGTCTGTTTACCTGTGGCGCAGCTGCCACGACAGGAGGCAGACGGCGATTTGCACGGTCGGTAGTGCTGACGACACCAGACGGCGAGGCAGGTCGGCGAGGAAGACGGCATTCCCAGTGCACAAAGCTGCCCAGACCGCTTTGTCCAGGCCACCCAGCATGGGCAGCTCAGTCAACATCTGGCCGACTGGACTGCCGACTGCTGCAGTGGCGACTAGATCCCCCTGTAAGAAATGTGGGGATCTGGCACCCACAGTGAGTACAACCACCTGTTGTTGTGGAGGACAGCAAGCCGGCTATGTCCACCTCCAGTTGGCAGTGGAGACCATTGCCAAAAGGTTGCAGACAGAAAGCCAACTGCGGCTGAACCAGAGCGTCCAGCTCCGACTGAATCTCCGTGACGAAAATTCGGCCGGCCACGACGCCATATTTGCCCACAGTAACATGTGGCTCATACGTCGTGATGCTGCGACAGTTGAAGTGACCCGCTACATGGAGTGTCATCGGCAGGGGTCGGAGTCGTCCTGTTTCAATGGCTGGAAGGCTTGCTGGCTCGTTTTTCAATGGCTGGAGCTTGGGCAGCTACGCATGTGCTGGCTACTTTTTGCCATGGCTGCAAAATATGCCTGGGCAATGCTGGCTGGTTTCTCAATGGCCAATGGCTGGAAAACTTGCCTGGGTAGCTACACAGGCTGCAAGAGATGCCTGGGCAATGCTGACTACTTTTCAGTGGCTGGAAAACAGCCTGGGCAGCTACGGTACGTGTTTCATGCTGAGGAACAAGTTCATGATGACCTCCACGGGGTAAATAATAACTGCAAAGCTGTGTGTGGCTCGCTGCTCCACGTACACTGGCATGCAGACCGACGATGCCACGGCAGGGATGGCTGGTTTCTCAATGGCTGGAAAAGCTGCTGGGGCAGCTACACATGTGTTGGCAGGTTTTTGCAAAGGCGAACGATGCCTGGGCAATGCTGGCTGGTTTCTCAATCAGCTATGCATGTGTTGGCCTGGCTGTTTTTTCAATGACTGCAAAAGGCACCTGAGCACCGCTGGCTGGTGTGTCAATGGCTGGAAAACCTGCCTGGGCAGCTACAGTATGACAAGGCCGCTGACTGCGAAAGCAGTATTCTACCAGTTAACAGGACTCTTTTGGTTTTCTGAGAATGCTCCGCCGACTCTCTTGAGCTCCTCAGGAAAAGGATTCTCTGAAATCACTCGTTGTTGCAATGTCACAGGGTGCTTGGAAGGAGGGTCGAATAATTGGGTGCCATACGCAGTCATTATCTAATACTGGTTGCTTGGCGGTCGACGACGACTACTACGAACAACCCTAAACCCGAGAGCTTCTAAACCCGAGAGCTTGAACCCTGAAATCCGGACTGCCCTGAACTCTGAAGCCTTGGAACCCTTAGAGCCTTCAAGGCGTAAACTGACTGACCAAATTGCTATTATTACTGCGGCTGCTGCTCGGCATACTACTGCACTGCCAGTCTTTACTTCATTCCGAGCCGGGACACCATCTGGGTTGCTGCAAATAATGACTATGTAACTGTAGTAATATCTTCCCAGCTCCTTCCCTGTGCTGCGCTGAACACAGGCCACAGAAGAATCAAGAGAGGCCAGGGCCTTGTCTGGACCAAGTTATTGAGCTACAATAAGTGAGCTTGGTCGCATCGAGGTTTGGAGACCTCTTCCAGGGTGACATGATGAACTACAGTTGGGCACTTACAGCTATTCTGCCGGATAGTGAGAGTGCCGCAGAATTCCTGTCCATGCCGTGGCCACTACCAGCCTCACGGCGACTCATCATTTGCACCGTGACCTTTACTTGTGGACATCCTTAAAGCCACACCTGCAACGCGGGCTTTGTCATCAGGAGGAGGGAAAGCACCGCCCCTAAGCTAAACCCTGAACGTCCTGGTCCGTGCG